TATCAAATCTCAAGTAACAAATATATACTCACAAACAGTTGAGTAATATAATCAAATAGTGTAAATTATTCTGTTACCTCAATCTTTTGTCACAAAAGGGTCACCGTAGTTCAAAGTTAGCTTTACATGTTCTATATGCATAATAAAGCTTGAGCAACACTCAATCTACATAATTAAGTAATAGTTATTAGTTATCACTCTGAATAAACCCTAAATTCACTCAGTTCCAAGTACTTATAACTCTCAAATTCCTTATTTAACAATATTAACCCTTCTAAAATACTCTAACAATCCTATTTAATATCCAACTATACTAAAATTATTAACCTGCTATCCACATTATCCAAAAACCTTCAATTTCTATCATTGGATTCGTTCAAACCCTAACTAAAAATATCAAATCACCATAAAACTCATAAATCTAGGGTTAGAGGCTTGATTTACCTCCTTAAGATCTTAATTAAGTCAATAGGTTTATTTATTACCTAAGAATAACTGAATCAAAGCCTCAACCATAGCCAAAAGCATCAGAAATTTGCATAGAGGGAGAAGTGTATGTTGAAAATTGTACCCTAAGGCCAATCATTTTACTATACATATTGTTATTTAATAAATTTTTCTTTTATTATCATATCAACTACATGTTCACTATGATAACTATATCCTTAGACAAACTATAGTGATTGTCCTAAATGTCCCTGATTAGTTATCTATAAGGGATCATAGATGAAACATGACTAGTATGACTTTGATTAATTATAGAGATATAAATTGAAGTCATAGGCATTTGAAAGAGTATAAGGTGTTGGATCGACTTGCTATGAGAAAGTTGCATGGTACAAGTCATAAGTTTATCTCATATGTAACTATATCACTAAGCCTTTTGACCTAAGATCATCATAGATTCCTACATGATGACCATTGAACTTTGAATTAGTCAAAAGTCACCTTTGATTAGGTGATCATAAAGGCTATGATTGAGTTTAGTGATATTCATGTAGAGGAATATGAGTGGTCAAGATGAAATTTTTCCCTTACATTAAGTGAGAGATATTACTAGGCCCCTTGATGAGTAAGACTAAAAAAATGTATAGCCATACTATAATGAAAAGGGTTTTTCATTACTACAATCAATCCACTCAGAGATCGAGAAAGTAAAGGTCAGGTAAAAGAGAATAACAATTCCATATCTCCCACTTGACTAAAATATCGCGTGACAAAAAAAATGTGATATGGTTATATGATAAGTTATATCGAATTATCAATCCTCATGCGAATTGGGTAGTTGCAATAGGCCACTTGTGACTTGTGGGCTAATAGTGTAATTAGCCTACTGTCAATTTTATATGGGCCTACAAGGTCACATACAAGAATAGCCCAACTCGAGCTATAATGTCCAAGTTCATTAAATCTAGAATATATCTAGATTTAATGAATGTAATATAGGGTGAATGAATTATATATATATATATATATTTGAATATTTATTTGATAAATATTTATACATATTTGTATGAAATATAAAATTCAAAACATAATTATATATATATTTTGAAATATATATATATATATTTTCATATTTGTGTGTATATATATTTGATATATATATGTATATATTTATATGATATATAAAATTAAATATAATATATATATATATATATTCAAATATATATATATATATATATATGTATATGTATATATATTTGTCTATATATATAATATAATTTTATGTGTGATATATATTATATTATTATATTATATTATATTGTGTTAGTTTTAAATTTAATTTTATATGATAGATTAAATTTAATAACTAATAAGATATGAGAGAATATCATGTCATTTTTATAATTTAAACTTATAAGATAAATTTAAATTAGATATGATATCATGAATTAAATTTATGAGATAAATTTAATTAAATTTTTGTGGGCTTTTAAGTGGAAGACGAAAATCCTGATCCATATACTATATATAGATAGGGATGTCCTTTATAAAGGAGGAGACAATTAGAAAAGTTTTAATGGCAAAAACACTTTGGGAGCCACGAAACACCCTATAGAAAGGAAAACTAACATTTAGGAAGAATAAACATTAGGAGCGTTATGTCACGGATGATATTTCCGTGACCGTGTAAAGACCAAGATAATGAACGGTCCGCTGGTTAGCCTCGCACAATATGGGTAAAGGAGGCGACATTAGCATTGGGGGTGTTCTGCCTCAGTCTTCGGACTGTGTGCACAACTGGTCGGGGGCTAGTGCCGCCTCCCTGATGAGCCCATGGTAGGGCGAAACCAGTGTGATCCGAACGTGGTAAGGCTTGTCCTGAGGATTATGGGGTCCTCCAGGACGCCGCACGGGCGCCGTGTGCTGCGCCAGACTCTCAGCCCGTGACAGAGTGGTATCAGAGCAGGACGTACTTTACTGCCGTGTGCGCGTGGGGTCCCACGTTGGGACTGGTCGGCCTCGGCACCGCTCCAGAAAGGCCTCCGAGCAGGTGGGTCCAAAAGTGGGGACTCGGGCGGGAAGGTTGGCCGTTGTCGACTCCACTCCTGTTGGCTCGCGGGTGCGAGTGGGTCCGAAGAGTGCAGGACTCGGGTGGCCACTCAGCAAGTAAGCTGGTGTGTTTGTGGCAGTACTGTACGTACGATCCTTGGGCGGAGTCGTTCTCCCCTAGCACGAGGGCGTGCTAGATTGGGTGTGGGAGAATGTCACGGATGATATTTCCATGACCGTGTAAAGACCAAGATAATGAACGGTCCACTGGTTAGCCTCACACAATATGGGTAAAGGGGGCGACATTAGCATTGGGGGTGTTCTGCCTCAGTCTTCGGACTGTGTGCACAACTGGTCGGGGGCTAGTGCCGCCTCCCTGATGAGCCCATGGCAGGGCGAAACCAGTGTGATCCGTACGTGGTAAGGCTTGTCCTGAGGATTATGGGGTCCTCCAGGATGCCGCACGGGCGCCATGTGCTGCGCCAGACTCTCAGCCCGTGACAGTTAGCTTGCTATTCGAGTTAGAGAGTTATTCGTGTGGATACCGGTAAAAGGAGTAGATCTACATTATCAACTTTTGAAATCCAAACTTTGTCAAGTTTGAAGGATTAAAAGGTAACTCTTCTATCCACCTTGACTTTAACGACTTCGTTCAGTCCATATATGGATAGGGATTTTAAAAATTTTAATCTTCAACTGTGTCTCCCTATCCAACAGTGTATGGAGCTTATCCAATGACAAATATTGCCCTAAATATGTTCAAAATGGTCTAAAGATCATGCTATAGTAGTCACTGATTGTCTCCTATCGCCTTCTCGTGATTTCACTTATCCCACTTTTGATTTCGGGTTTGTTTTTTGTAAATTAATAAGCATTGATTATGCACGTACGCCGCAACAAATTAACATGTCTGCCGTGACAGATGGCACAGAGAGCCTCACCATAATTTAAACTTCCCTTCATACCATGGCCCGTTCGAACTTCAACTTAGCCTTCTTCTCAGATTGGCTAATGATTCAAAAACTATATTAGACCCCCAAAAACACCATCAAGCAATAATTTATTTAATTTAAACAAAATGCCCTTAGAAACACTAATAATTCCTAGATTAGAAACTTAGAATGTTACAAGTAGCAATACAAGAAGCATTAATAGTGTTTGTGAGGCATTCGAAAGCACCACCATTGATCAGGTAGCTGACAGTAGGTAGTACACGTTGAGGTTTGGGTCAAAAGAAGCAAAAACAGATCATTGAGTGGGCAGAAAAATCTCACAATGAACTTCAGTCAGTCAAACGCATTCTAAAATCAATCTAAATCTTCTGTATTCTTCTGAAATCAAAGATACATCCTAGAAAAAATTAGAGCCCTTGCCTCTTTGACGATTCACAAGGACATTGAGAAGTGTAAGAGAGAGAGGATCTTTTCCAATATCAATAAACTTCAATAAACTTCACACCCTTCTTCCCTATAATTCCAAGGTAAACCCTCTTTTCAATCCCCTAAAGGGTGTGTATTTTTAAAGGAATAAGAAGAAGGTGGTGACTCAAGCAAGACCTAGCTCATGACTTATGATTGGACTAGAGAACACAAAATAGGGTGATCGATCAGATGAACTGAACTAAGAAGAGAGAAGGAGGACTTTTTTTCATAAAAAGTTAATAAAACGTATTATGGTCATTCCCCTTCAAAATATATTTTCAATTAAGTATCTTGGTCCTGCAATGAAAAAATTTATTGGGCTTGATTTGAAATAAAATCCCATCTATGGTCCTATACTGAAATTCTCTCTCATTTTAATTTCATTTTAGGGCTCTTGAGACTTTATAATATTGGCATTAGAACATTTCCATGGGCCTAGTTAACTATGTTGTTATATTTTTATGAAATCATTTATATAATTTTTTTTTACTTTTATATTTTTGAGTGAAATTATATTATCCTTTATACAAAATTTTTATTTTATCATTACATTGCACCCCTGCCATTGGGTATTCAGTGAAAAACTAAACTTCAAACTTCCCAAGATCTTCTAATCTTCTTTGATTAACCAAGTAGAATTGTGCTTTCTTAAACTAGTACTTCCTCTATATTTGAATAAGAGAAACTACTATGTGTCTCTTTGTTTTTATTAGAACTACAAATCTCAAGAAGTATTTATCCCATTTTTTCTAAATAATCCCTCATATTTCGCTAGACAAATTTGTTTCATTAATTTCATAGATAATTTAATCCAATTTTTTAATTTCAAACATAATTATTATACTTAACTATGTTTTTTAAACTATAAATATTTTCTCCTACATTTGAAAATGAAGGGAGTATTTTATTTACACAAATAAAAAATTTAATAGAAGGAGCTAATAATTACATAAGAAATGCCAACGCAATACGAAGAAGAGCAAGTAAATAAATAATATAATCCATATACACGAAATCTTGGGCCGAAAATGAATAAATTTTCCCTAATTAAGGCACATACGAAGAAGATCTTATAAACAGAGTACAATGGGAAGCTGTAGATTTCATTTTCAGATTCTGTTCATTCACAGTAAACTTAACAGACACTAACGATGCACCCATACAAGTTTTTTCTCCTTTTTCATATAAATCTGATCTTCATATAAGACAGATCCAATTATCTGGACTGTTCGTGACCAAAAAAGGAACTAAAGAGAGGGGGGAGAGAGAGAGAGAGATTTGATGCGGTTTATATTATAGCTCAACCCAACAGAATCAATCTCCAATACTTTTCTTCTTTTCCTCTTCTGGTTCAAGAAGGTCTTCCAAAACCTGATTATCCAAACACTCAAACTCGAAAACTTGCCTCCGTGACGAACCAGACGATGAACTTCCACTTCCATGGCCTTGAAAAGAAGCTGACGATGACGAAGAAGCCGAAGAAGAAGAAGAAGCTAAATAGGGAGGATATGGTGGGGATCCTCGTACATGAGCGTAGTATTCGTTGGGGAAATTAAGGATTGCGAGATGACCCCTCATGTTAAAGGCAGCTTTGTCATATGCTCTTGCAGCTTCTTCCGCCGTATCAAACGTTCCAAGCCACTGTCTTGCCCCTTGCCTCGACGGATCCCTTATTTCCGCCGCATACTTACCCCATGGCCGCCTCCGGACTCCCCGGTACCGGACCTCCTCCTTCCCCTTCTCCGTCTTGTTCTTGTGCCCGTCCATCTTCTTGCCCTAGCTTTTCGCCTTCTTCTTTAGTGTTTAATTTGATCGGCCCAAGTAATGCTTATATAGATAGCCTCTGTATAAGATGTGACATGTATATATTTGAGATGTTAGTGTTATTCGTCTAAGAAATGAGATATAATCATATCATCTACGCATAAGCTAGAGGGGGTCCATGGTTTTAAACAAAGTTTGAGATGAGTTACGATGTCTACCACTTGGAAATAAGGTTACATATATACATAAAATAACTATTAGTAGTGCTTAGTGATCACATTAGATTACTGTTGTATCTAATTAAGAATACTGCTCTAAAAAATATTTTTCATATTTATGTGGATTGAAATTCAAAATTTCATTCTTTTTATATATTATACTTTATAGGGTAAGAGAGTAAATTAACTCCCAATTATTGGTTTAGGAGTGTTTAAAATCCTAAACTCATTTTTTGTTTAATGTTGCCCATTAACTTTTAAAAAGGGGACAATATGGCTTTTGTCGTTAATAAAAGTTAACTTTAGTAGTTAATTAACCTAAAAATGATAGGAACTAGAATGACCTGATAAAAAATTAAAGAAAATGATCAATAAAACTTTATTAGTCCTTTTTTGTAATTTTTTGGATTCTTATATGTAATTTTTTAGGTCCTTTTTTTATCATTTTCTAATCATATTAACAGTGAAACTTAATTTTTGTTAATGATAAGGGCCATATTATATTGCTCTTTTTTTTTTTTTTATGTACATGATAACACACACACACACTATACTTTGCATCTCAAATAAAAAAAAATTATTATACCTATCCCTCTCAATCCAAGAAATGTGCATAAATTGACCAAGACTTGTTATTTCTTCCCAGACGTTGGATCATTTCTTAAATTTGATTCTTCGACTATGTCTATGTTCTTTAACGTAAATTATGAGCAGAACGAAAAGAATAGGAAGGAGACAAATATTTTTATCAATCTCACGCAACATGGCAAAATCTCTTACATGTATATATTCCATCAGACTCAAGAATCCTTTCATAGGTGTTTCTTACGCTACAAATATATGTGCCACTAGTAACAATGAATTGGTGTTCATTTTGTGAGATTTTTTGGGTGTGTGTGAAGGGTATCTATCTGGGTCAATATATATATATATATATATATATGTATATATATATTGATCTACCTTTTTATATATATGCTGGCATATTTTGATTGCGCTGCCAATTTAAAATTTGAAATATTGCAAAAATTCTCTCCTTAAAAAGTTTTGTTCAGTCATGTTAAAAATAAAATAAAATAGTCGTTGAAGTATCAGAACCGACAATCGAGTGCGAGAACTTTAGATTTGAGTCACAAGTCCAAGTCACCGTACTATTGAAAGGATATGACTTGATAGGGGACATGAATGAGACTTGCCCTCAACTATCTAAAGTATCACAAGAAGGTAGGCATGGCCTTTCTTAATCCTATCGCCAAAGCATCCAAATCTTTCATATTGGTTTTTTTTTTTTGGTAATAAATGTTTCATATTGTTTAATACAATAATAGTCAGTATCTAATCATAATATTTCTAAACTTAATTAACAATTAATCAGCAGTTTTTGCATTGACCCAAAACATTGGTTATTTATAGTCCCTAGGTTGGAGAGTGGAGATCTATTTCTTTGCAAAATGACAATTAAAACCCTGTAAGAACATTAATCCTAATTAAGGACTATAATATCTTGAAATCTAGTTAAGGACTATGGTCCTTAAGTGGGATAAAAAATGTAACTTGTGAGTTGGAATTTATTAATGCCACTTGGAGATTCACTAACCCAACTTGAGAAAATTGCTAACGTATATTGTGAAAACATAAAACCCTACTTGAGAATCAATTGTTCAACAAAAAATATCACTTGTGAATTCATTAACCTAACTTGAAAAAATTGCTAACATATATTGTGAAAATATGAAACTCCACTCAAAAATTAATTATTTAACAAAAAATACCACTTGAAAATTCACTAACTAGACTTGAAAAAATTCCTAACATATATTATAAAAAATAAAACCCCACTTGCGAATCCATTATTTAACAAAAAGTGACTTGTTTAAATTGAGGTTTTTTTGTTAAACAATCGATTTCTAAGTAGGGTTTCATATTTTTATAATTACGTTAGAACTTTTTTCAAGTCGGGTTAGTGAATTCTCAAGTTGTACTTTTTATTAAACAATCGATTCCCAAGTAGAGTTTTATATTTTTACAATATACGTTAACAATTTTTTTAAGTTGGGTTAGTGAATCTCAAGTAGCGTTAGTGAATGCCACCTCACAAACTATATTTTGTTTATCCCAATTAAGAATTATGGTCCTTAATTGGGATTAATGTTCTTAGAGGATCCTTAATTATAATTTTTCCTTATTTTTTTCCATACAATTGTATTAGTAATTTAAAGCCAGAAGACTTGATGTCAAACCAAAAAGACTAGTAGGTATCGATTTTTATCGTCAACCAATTAGACTAATGATTGAACTAATAATGTAATAATTGAAAAACATATTAAATGCAAATAATAAATTTACATATATCTAGTTGTCAATAAAATAACAATCATAAATTAATAGCATTGCAAGTTATAATTTTATAACTTGTCAAATATAAGTTAATTTTGGTTAAACCAAGCATGAGTATGCTTGTATTTACATTTGCATTATAGTTGTCAACATCTTCTTTGAAAAGTAGGAAAATTTCCATCGATTAGTCTAACCTTAATTAGGTTATTAGGAGTTTATTTAAGTTTTTAAACCTAGAGTTTGGAGTAGATAGTGATTTGGGGTTGTGTTAAGAATTTCTAACCAAATTAACCCTGGGAGAAAATGGATGATTTGACAATACTAAAAAAAAATACCTTTTACACCTTTTTGCATCGGTGTAAAAAATGTAAGCGGTGGCATTTTCATAGATAAAAAAAATTGATAGAACACTTTCTACATTGATTATGCATATAACCAATGTCAATAATATTTCTTACGCCAATTAAGCATATAACTAGTGAGAAAGTTTGAAAATTTCATTTTGTTTAAATGTATACAAAGGAAAATGTTTCTACACTAGATCTTTATTTACTAGGTGTAAAAAGTAATTATAATTTTATATATATATATATATATATAATCAAAATAGTTTCTACACCGGATACAAGTATACTTGATGCAGAAAATGTCAAAATAATCTTTTTCAAAAAAAAAGTTTAGTTTCTACACTAGGTGGAATGATACCCTATGTAGAAATTTAAAAAAATTTTAGAGAGAAAAATTAAAAATAGTTTCTACACTAGGCACACATATACCTAGTGTACAAAGTGTTAGAATATTTTTTTCTTGAAAAAGGTTTAGTTTCTACCCTGTGTAGAAAGTGTCTAAAATTATTTTCCCTCAACTCCCTCTTCCCCTCACCCTCACAGCTCCCTCCTCCATAGCTTCCCCTAGCCCCCTCCAAATGGCTACTCAGGATTTTAGGTTATATGTTAGGTTTGAATTTTTTTTTAATCGCCATATTCTAATGCTTTAATTTGGTTTGAAATTGTGGCTAAAATTGGTGATGATTTGAATAAAAAAAAAGTCTAAGATTTGAATTGTTTTCTATTTACTTTTAATTTTATAAATATTGAGAAGTCTAACTTTTAGGAGAGACTCTATCTAAATTTTTTTAGATTTTTATTTTGCATTTACTTGTTAATTTTTCATGAAGTACTCATTGAATTGGTAGTGTTATTTTGTTATCCATAAAATGTGAAAGTAATTAGTGGCTGCTATTTATTTTTAAAATTTATTTTTTTTAATTGTATAAATATTGGGAGGTCTAATTTTTAAGGGAAGCTCTGATAGATTTTTTTTTTAATTGTAGAGCAATAGTTAAATTGACAAACATGCTTGTTATGATTGTCAATATTAAATTATGGGGAGATCCAACTATAGAGGATGCTTTATCAAATTTTGTGGTATTCCTTAGAGTGAATTTTTTTTATACTTTCCTTTTTAGGAAATCATTAAAGTTAAACAAATAAGTGATGTATATATGATAACAAGGTGAAGGAGTTTTTAGAATTTGCTCAAACAAGTTGTCTTAAAAGTACTACACATCATTGTCCTTGTGTAAATTGTCTAAATCTGATGCAAATAAGTGCTCCATGGATAAGGTAGCATCTTATTTGTGATGGGATCTACAAAAGTTACACTCAATAGATATGGCATGGTGAAGTACTAGGAAAGTCAAGTGTGTCCCACAAAGAGAAAGTGAATGAAGTTCATCATGATGTAGATATGAGTGATCAAATAGAGAACATGTTCCTTGACATTACAATAGAGAGACATTTGAAAAACCACATGTGATTGAAAAGTTGTATAGTGATACAAAGAAGCCACTATACCCAAGTTTCCTAAAATGTACATTATTGTTAGCAGTGGTTAGATTGATCCATTTGAAAGGACAAAGTGGATGGAGTGACAAGAGCTTTACCAAGTTTCTTCTTATTGAAGGACTTACTTCTAGAAGGTAATGAACTACTAGATCATAAGGCAAAAAAAATATTATATCCAATGGGTATGGAATACAAGAAGATACATGCTTGTCCTAATAATTACACATTATATAGAAGAAATTTTTAAGAAGAGGACAAGTGTCCTAAATTTGTGGCATACCATGGTATAATAAGAAGAGGTCTCTAGCAAAGGTATTATGGTATCTTTCAGTTATAACAAGGTCCAGTACTCATTTGCTAATGCAAAGGACAGGAAGAACTTAAGGTGACATGCAGTTGAGAGGATATTTGATAATAAGCTCTATCTTCTGGTTGATTCTACATAATGGAAGAAGAATGATCAATTGTTCCTTAGTTTTGGAAATGAATCAAGAAACCTCAAGCTTGGGCTTTCAACTGATAGAATGAATCTGTAACATTCAAAAACTTTAAATCTGGAAAAATTGATTAATTAAGAGATAAATTAGTTAAAAAATATGAT